TTACATTTAGAGTGTGTGTGTACTCCCAGAGGGAGTTAGTTGAGGTGAGCTTGGTGGTGCCATGGGTTGGACTGGTCACCCTGTTTTTCAGCCAACCCTCATATTTTAATCAGAAGGATCTGAAAAAAAATCTTCCTAACCCTTAGATGTTTTCAAAGAGCTCTGTATGTCTCTGTTCTCACTACAGATGGGCTCTGTTCTGAGGATGGACACTGACCAAGATGAAAATCCCTCTTATGAGTTCAAAGGAAATGATAGGAAAGTAGGGGAGGGGAAAGGGGGCAGGAGAGAATGTGCAGAAGCCAGAAGCCTTATTAAACACTTTAAAAAAACCTTTGATTTTTAGTCTCCCTGGTCCCATCTGAGATGCCACACCACTAGGGTTTTAAGACGGGAACAGAAAATGAAACAAACCTAAGTTTAAAAGAAAAGAATGTCATGATGAACTAATTCCTTTCATCCCAGAATCTGAGAACTGGCAAGAACCTCAGAAATCATTAGGAGGGTAAAAACAATTATGTGATGTGTCTAAAGTTACAGAAGCAAAAGTCACACTGGAATCCAGATCTTCTGATCAGTGCTCATTCTACTATACCATGTCTCTCTCTCTTTTTTTTTTTTTGGCTAGGCAATGGGGTTAAGTGACTTGTCCAAGGTCACACAGCTAGTAAGTGCTTTGTGTCTGAGGCCGCATTTGAACTCAGGTCTTCTTGAATCCAGGGCCAGTGCTCTATCCACTGCGCCACCTAGCTGCCCCATTATACCATGTCTCAATCAGACAAATTATATGTAGATTATTTAAATGCTTTGATTTACATTCTTCAGTCCTGAAATCTCTGTGTCATCATCCTTGACTCCTCCTTCCTCACACTAGCTCTATATAAACAATTTCTGGTCAAATCTTGCTATTTCTATTTTCACAGCATCTTTAGTGTATGTCCCTTTCTCTCCACTCACAGAGCTGTCTCCTGGGTACAGTTCTTCATCACCTGACAGCTGGATTACCAATTATTTTCTTTGTCTCAAGTCTCTCCCCATTCCAATGCATCTTCTAATCAGCTGTCAAAGTGATCTTCCTAAAGCTCAGATACAACAATGTAACTCAGCCTCCTTGCTCAATAAACTCCAATGGCTCCCTATTGCCTTTAGGACCAAATAGAATATCCTAGTAAGGCCTTTCAAATCTGGTCCCTTTTTCCCTTTCCAGTCTTCTTACACTTTTACTCCCTTATACCTACTATATAATCCAATGATACTGGCTTTCATGCTGTCCCTAGCATGAAACACTCCACCTCATGATTCTTTGCCTTTTTACTGGTTATCCTCTAACTCTAGAATATGATTTTTCCTCATTTCCACCTTCTGGTTTCTCTGGTCTCTTTCAAAATTCACCTCAGAACTGACCTTCTGTAAAGGGCCTTTCCTGGTACTCCTCCCCCCTCCCCCTGCTAATGTTTTCCCTCTAAGATAGCCATCCATTTACAGTGTATATATCTTATGTGTACACAGTTGTTTGCATAATTTCTCTTCCATTAGAGGGGGAGCTCCTTGAGGGCACGAACTATGCTTTTACCTTTCTTTGTAACCCTAGGACTTAACACAACACCTGGAATATAGTAAGTGTTTAATAAGTGCTTATTGATTGGACTACAATTTGGTTATTTTCCAGCCAGTTTGAAGGAGATAAAATTAAATTGAATCAATTTTCCTGTGTATTAGTGATTATGTGAAGACGTGTGATTTAGATATGAAAGGGGATGTGCTGTACCAAAGCAGATCATAAGTCCATCTAGTAGTCCAATCCCCTCTCATTTTATAAACAAGGAACTGAGATCCAGAGATGTGAAGGGATTTACATGTAGTAAGCAGCAGATCTGGGATTTGAACCCAGGCCCTCAGCCTCTGAATCCAGCTTTGAATCCCAGCCTATCCTAGGAAGTTGCCCGAGGCATGTAGAGCCTTATAGATGTAGTGAAGTGTTTGAATCCACTTCGTCCTGACTCAATTCTAGCATTCTACTACCTCCATGTTGCCTCTGTACTTCTTAGCATTTGCATTACATATTTGGAAGCTGAAGGGCGGGGAAGGGGTAGGATGAGAGGTTGAGCTTAATGCTTTGGCAAATATAAATTTTCTACATTTCCCAAACCCTTTTTATCCTACTTCTCATTATCATGAGAGGCAGTATAGCATAGTGAGGCATGATCTCAGAGTCAGAAAGACCTGAGTCCATATCCTGCCATACTGGCTGTATAACTCGTGGCAATTCATTTAACCTCTCACTGCTCTAGGCAATTCTCTAAAGTTATTGGTTGCAGAGAAGAAGCCAACCTGCATTGGTGGAGAGAGTTCTCTTACCTGGGAGTTCACTGTACCAGTGAAATCAAAGGTTCGTTTTCTATCCTCTCAGTACCATATATATATATATATATATATATAGAGAGAGAGAGAGAGAGAGAGAGAGAGAGAGAGAGAGAGATGGCTTCACTTATGAAAATGAAACCTAATACCCAGGAGGAAGTTTTTACTGTTGTTGTTTTTCCTACTATCACCTCAAATTAGGGCTTTAAATATATGTGTAACCCAATCAGAGGACTGAATTCTGACAATCAAGACCCCCAAATGAAATTTCAAACTGGTTAACAATTGTTCAGATTCCACGAGTCTCCCTGAAAGATTTCATTGAAGACTTGCCTATCATTCTCAGAAGAAGGTTTTTCTTCTTTCTGTCTCCTCTTTTTTTTCTTTCCAAGGAATCAACCTATTGAAAGTGGTAACCTTTAGAAATTCCTGCTTTACCAGTTTGAAGAACATTTTGGCAGTCCAGAGACTTTACATGGAGAAGCTCTTTCTTGTTACCACAAGGACCAAGAATTAAAGACTTCCCTTTTCCTCATATTCAGTTCACCTTTTTCTTTTCAGATAGTTTTAAACAGATGAGGCAGAAAGTAATGACTCTAGCTCATGTTCCCCCTTGGAACAAATGGCCCTCAACATCATTCTGGCAAGCTGCCAGCTCAGAGAGATCTCCAAGTGACTCTGCGTCTCAGTGCACCGGCTCATCAGACGTGTTTTAATTACATACACTAAGACATTGCCACGACAAGATTCATTTGGAGGAAATATCCCTGGCCAAGGAAGCTTTCTCAGAAGACTTCATATAATTATAATGAAAGGGGAGTGTTTTTGTTATGTGACCCATGATAAGACAGATTCAAGTAACAATCTCTAGTACTAAGTAGTCTTTGAGAAAGGAAATATACTGCGCTGTCTCATCTGGTTGTAATTCGCCTCAGAGCGTGAGAAAAAATCATTCTAATTCATATACACACACATTCACACGCACACGTGTACCCTCAAGTAGACAGCAAATGGACAGTTCAATTAGGGAGCCAATGTTCTCCTGAGGGTATCACCAAAGAAACTAGCAAATCCAAAGTGTTTGGGTAAAGAACTCTGGAAATGTCAACACTCTAGTTTGGCTGATACTTACTAGGGGAACCTTCCTAACCCTGGCTGAGATCTACTTCTGGCTATTCCACTCTTAGCTACCGCCGAGTGGCTGGAGCTCCAGACATAGCTGCCGTACGTCCCAGTCTTCCAAGTTCCCATACTTCCATTGGCTGTAGCCAGACCTATTAAACTTTTCTCTTGAAACTATCTGCACTATGTGGCCATACAATCAGTATTATGCAACTGGGTGAGGATGACAACACGGTAAAGCTTGTGCACAACCCCGCAGGAGACCCAGCACCCAAAAGAAGCCTGAGTACCTTTAGCTAGATACTCCCTCGGTACCTGTGTATGATATTGGACATACTGTGTGCTTGACTTTTTGAGTCTGTCCTCTGAGGAACATACACGATATGCATTAAGCTCCTGGAGAGAGGGAGAAGTGCTTTGTAAATGCATGATATTATTGTTGTTGTTGTCATTGAACTATAATATCAGGGTCATCACTTACCCGGTCTTATTCCTTCTTCATAGTTGCTAATTGTGCTCTTTCTTACTTCCCCAATCTGCCTTCCTCTTCTCCCTTTAGGATCCCTGCTACCATAAATGGACTTTTCACAAGCCTTCTGGGAGATAGCATGGAGTAGTGGGAGTGGAGTAGTGGGCTTACAACCAAAAGACCTAAGCTTCGAGTCCTAGCTCTGCCACTTACTAGCTATGGGACCATAGGTAAGTCCCTGAACTGATCTGACACTCAGGTTCTGCATCTACAAAATGGAGATGATAATCTTTAAATTACCTAGCTCATAAAGCCGTTGTGAGAAAAATGTGTTGCAAAGATCTATATAGGATCATATATATAGAACTAAAAGAGACCTCAGAGGCTGACTAGTCCAAGTCTTTTATTTATAGATAAGAAAACTGAAGTCTAAGAAGTTGTGACTTACCCAAGGTCACAGAAGAGTATAAGCAAGTTGTTTTCATTGCTAGATGCAGCTTGGTGGTATCATGGATTAAGTATTGGGCCTGGAGTTAAGGAAGACCCGAGATAAAATCTGGTCTCAGAATTTTAATAGCTGTATAACCCTGGGAAAGTCATTTAACTTGTTTGCCTCAGTTTCCCTATCTGCAAAATGGAAATAACCTACCCAAGGTTGCTGTAAGATAATATTGGTAAAATGCTTCACAAACCATGAAGCATTATATGAATGCTAGCTAATATTATTACCATTATTGATGCTACAATTTTCATTTGTCACTTCCACTTTTGTTTTTTCTTCTCTACTTTTCTCCTACCCCTACCCCTACCCCTACCTCTACTTTTCACCTCTCAGCAGCCCAGTTCCCTGATATGATCCAGCCTATTTTTAAACTACTGCCATCATTACTCAAAGGTATCACTGCTTCAGCTGCTAGGCTGCCATACCCTAAGCACTATTGTGAATTCACACTTTGGCACAAAAAAGTCTGTTGAAATCTTGTTGCTCATCTTAAGTGTAAAATGGAAGATCCCTGGTGGTCCTGGGACAATACAAAGAAACAGATACCTTGGCATTTTGCAGGGGTGGCTGGTAACTGGATGGCCGGTAGAACATCCTTTGGCTGGAGTCAGTGTGAATGTCACCAAGGAACAGTTCTTCTACAAGGTGATCCAGGTTGTGGTGGAGGTACTGTTTTTCTACCCGGATCAGTTGAAGTTCATGCATAGCAAAGTTCACTGCTCTGGTACATTCACGGCCATTTTCCTCTCGCCATAAGTCATAGGTGGCATCCTGCACCCAGGGGTTATCTGAGGTGATGAAACCAGGGCATGTGTGATTTACCAGCTGACTAAGTCTTTCAGCAACTGCTTCACTATGACAGATGATCTGGACGTTATGTAGCTGGTAGTCTGCCTCGGTCCCTCCTCGGATGATCCAGGATGCTTGGCGAAGCCGTATCTTACCTCTGATGACTAGAGTGTAGGTAGGGTTGGTACAGCGGTTACCACCATAATAAAACTGGTAGGCCTTGAAGGTATTATTGTGGTAGAATCGATAAGATCTGGTAATGAATTCTGGACCAGATCTCACTTCACATCTAGAGAAGAAAAGGAAGAGAATTTTTTTAAAAATAAAAAATACATGAGAAATGGAGACCACTACTATTTTCTGAAAGGAAAAATGCCTTAGGAGCATATAATTTAGAGCTAGAAGAAATGTTAAAAATCATCTAGTCCAATTTCCTCATTTTACTGTTGACAAAAGGGAGCTCTGAAGCAGTTCAATAATTCTTCCAAGGTCACAAAGATAGTAACAAATGCTGTATTCAAATTCAGGTTCTTGGATTCCAGATTCAGGCTCCTTCCACTCTCTAGACAGCCATTTTCTCAGGTTACAAATAGGTCAGGGTTGCAGAATCATCACCCTCAGGCATAATCTTTATCTTTCCTACAAATCTCATTCTTTGTGTGTAAAAGGTAGGTCTCTGGACCAGAAAAGAAGTTCCATTCTTCAATTAGTTAAGAAAAAAATATCATTCACATTTTAATTATAGAAATATGGAAAGATTTCCTGATATGATGAGAAAGGTTCAAACAATCCTTTGCATGAACCTACTTTCATACACTGAGCCATGTTCTAGCCATACGCCAACACTCATGGGTGAACCCCTCCTCTTCCCATATTCCTTCACTTTAAAAAAAAAAAACTATATGGCACTTCCTGAGGGAAAATATAAAAAGGCAAAAGCATCACTTTCATAGTGTGTCCGAGAATCGACAAACTATTCCTTCTCAGATAGCTTTAAAAATGAGACTTGCTGATGTAATTCTGTGTACTCTTTTCTACAGGTGTCAATATTGGTGGGGGACAGGGGAAAGGCAGCATGGAGATTTTTGTCATGTGCCTTGGAGTCTTGGTAGGAGCAAACTTTGCTTTTCTCTAAAGCACATCTTCTTTCACTTTCTACTTAAAATTATGAAATCCTAAGGCTAGAAAGGACTGAAGAAGTCATTGAGTCCATCTCCAGGGCTTCTTAAACTTTTTCCACTCAGACCCCTTCAGAATTTCTTAAACTGTGGGTCAACTGATACTGAACTACATCTACAATTGAATTCAACTCAACTAATACTTATTATGTGCCTATTATATCTAAGACATTGTGCTAGCAGCTAAGGGTACAAAGATGAAAGAAGACACAGTTGTCTGGTCTAGAGGAGCCTACAATAACAACAGTTACAATAAGCCACGCACACAAATAACCAAGAGATAGCTAGGTGGTTCAGTGTCTAGAGCATTAGACATAAGATCTGGGAATAACTGGAGTTTGAATCTTGCTGCAGTCCATGTGACGGAGGGCAAATCACTTAATCTCTCTCAGTCTCAGTTTCCTTGTCTATAACATGGTGATATAAAAGCACTTGCCTCACAGGATTATAATGAGGATCAAAAGAGATAATGTATGTAAAGTATTTTGCAAACCTTTAAGTAATACTACATAAAAATTAAATACTAGTATTTAATTAGAAATATGCTTTATATTATACTATATCACTAGTATTTACAAAGGAAGGGAATTTACTCTATTACTAGTATTTACAAAGGAAGGAAATTTACTATAATACTAGTATATACAAAGGAAGATATGATGAAGATAAAGAAAAGGCATAAAAAAGTTCATCGAGAAATCTGTGAAGGGACAAATTTGCTTCTATTTGTTGGAAAGTTGGGAAGGATTCCCTTCATTTGAATAACCATTTATTATCAGAGAAATTTCATAGAAGAAGTGATACCAGAGTTAAGCCACAGAAAAAAGAAGAAATTTCAACAGCAGTTATGAGGTAGTGGGAGAACATTCCGGAGAGTCAGACCCGATCATAGCAAGATTAGAATGTGAGAACGGGGGTAGAGAAAAGAGAAGATTACCTGCATGGGTGTACAGTGAATTCTACATTTTTTTTCCTTTTTATTTGTTTACTCTTTTGACCAAATTGATTGTTTCCTTTTTCATTTGTATGCTATGTGCTTCCTTTCTTTTTTGATGTTGGATTGTAAGCCCTTCTAGGGCAGGGACTGTCTTTTGACTCTTTTTGTATCCCCAGTGCTTAGCACAGTGCCTGATACACAGTAGGTTCTTAATAAATATTTATTGATAGATAGTACTACAGAGTTTCAGCTAGAAGGAGCCCTAGAGATTATTTAGTCTAACAATCTCATTTTAGAGATGAAGAAACTGGAGCCCAGAGAGTGGAAATAACTTGACCAAGGCCATACATGTAGAAAACAGCAGAGCCAGGGTTTGAATCCAGGTCCTCTGACTCCAAAGCCATGTTCTTTGTTAAAAAATTTATTTTTCTTATTTATGGAGTGGCTACATGTTCTTAATCTGCTTGCCTCCTCTCTCATTACTCTTGGGATGTTACTCTTAATCTTTCTCATTTCCACTTCCCCTATCTTGGTTCACTCAACCTATTTTGCATCTCATTTATCACCTACTCAGCTATCTATCTTCACTTCTCTCCTCTTTGTAGAAAGTCCCCTTTATTCCTCTCCTTATATGTCTCTCAAAACATTCCTTGGCACCCTAATCTCCTACTTTGGCAAGTGTCTCATTTTTTTGGTCAATTTACAGCTAGAGATAATAGTTTAGAATAATCAAATCCAGCTTTTTATACATGAGACATAAGATATACACTGGTAGGTCAATCTTATTTAGTGTTGATATGAAAGCATCACAATTATTAGGTAGTGGGAAATTGAATCTCCAGTCAGTTTAAGCTTGGATTTCTTTCTAGCAAGGAAAAGGGAGATGCCAATTAATGTTAGCTAAGAATAAGAACCTAATTGTAACCAAGAGCCCTCAATTACAGGATCCTCTTATTTTGGCAGGGATACAATGGGCAAATCACCTCTTTGGTTCTTATGGTGCCATGAAAGATATGACAACAGGAATATATAATTTGGCCCTTTTCTATACCAAGAAATTACTTCATTATCAGTATATTTTGCTTAAGTGCTATATACACTGCTAAAATTTCCATTAATTCACATGTATGAAATTATACTTGACATCAGATAAAGGGCAAATTTTCTTTAATGTACTATCCAAAAGAATAGTCCAGTGCTTTTGGTCTGTCCTTCCTAACAATTACATTCTGACTAATAATGGCATTAATTCATTGTTTTTAAAAAGCTACCAGTACTATTATCTCCACTGCAAGAGAAAAATGTCTTTGTTGGTATTCCAAATGGGAATAAAATTACTTAGGATATTGTCAGGTTTTGTGCCCAGTTCCAGAGCAAGGCTATAAAGCATGTTTCCGTAAGCAATTTATCCATCCTTTCCTTTCCATTCCCACTGATATCTAGTCTTCATCCCTTTATACATGGACTATTAAATCATATCTCAACTTGTACATTACTGTCAGATTAACTTTCTAAAATCCCATTTTATCAACTCATTACCTTGCTCAAATATCTTCAGTGACTCCCTAATATTTATAGGATACAATTCACATAGCAGGTGTTTAATAAACGTTTATTGGATGGCTGACACATTCTTTATGCCTGCATTCAAACTCCTTTACAATCTTACCTCAGTTATCTTTCCAGACTTATTTCCCATTACTTCCATAAACAAAATTTCAACTAAACTACTTTCCCCTGAAATGTTCCTTATGCTTTCTTGCCTTTATGATTTTGCTCACATTATCTATTTAAAATTAGTTTCCCCTCTCTCCACCACTTAAGATACATCTCAAGTGTTTCTTACTTCACTCTCTAAATTCACAGCACTTATAGTCTACATCAGCATTTCTCAAAGTGTGGTCCAGCGACTCTTAGGAATCTTTGAACCCTTTTCAGGGGGTCTGTAAGAACAAAGCTATTTTACTAACAACAGTAAGAAGTTTTTATTTCTATAAATATGGTAGATATAGATCAATATAACTCACACAAACAAAAGCCCTTTGCGGCCCTCAATAAATTTCAGGAGGTCTTGAGACCAAAAAGTTTGATAACTGCTGGCTTATAGTGCATACATGGAAATAAGTTATGGATTACCTTATGCTATCTTTTATACTGTCACCTTGTGTTATTTAACTTTACTCCTTTCAATTAAATTGTAAGTCATTTCAGGCAAGGGACTGTCTTTTACTTCTTTAAAGCCTGGAACATAGAGAATGCTCATTAAGTGTTTTCTGTATTATTTTACCTAGTAGACACCAGATGTGCAAATGGAAGAACATTGGACAGAAGTGTTTGCTACTGAGATACTCTCTCGCTAAACTAAATCTTCTGCAACATGTGGGTGGTCCCTATTGTTTTCTGTGGAGCCACAACCTTGGAGTCTAGTTGCACATCCAAACCATTTCTTCCATTTTTTTTGAAGTCTTGGTGAATTAGTGTATATTATGTGCATTATTATTATTTTTTTTGTGAGGCAATGGAGTTAAGTGACTTGCCTAGAGTCACACAGCTAGTAGGTATCATGTGTCTGAAGCTGGATTTGAACTCAGGTCCTCCTAACTCCAGAGCCACTGCTCTATCCACTGCAAAGTTGTAGTTTAGTGTTTTGGGTTTTTTTTGTTGTTGTTTTTGTTTTTGGCTTTTTGGTGAGACAATCAGGGTTAAATGACTTGCCCAGGGTCATACAACTAAAAAAAAAAAACTCACTTTTTCTTTTTTTTTTTTTTTCGGCTAGGTAATGGGGTTAAGTGACTTGCCCAGAGTCACATAACTCCTAAATGTTATGTGTCTGCATTTGAACTCAGGTCCTCCTGACTCCATGGCCAGCACTCTATCCACTGCACCACCTAGCTGCCCCATATGTTCATTATTCTTGAGAGGTAGTATAGCATAGTGGATGGAAGGCTCTTACTGTAGTCAGAAGACCTAGGTTCAAATCCTGCACCTGATACTTATTAACCATATGATCACAGCCAAAGTCACTTAATCCCTCAGTGCCCCAGGAAATTCTCTAAAGCTATAAGTTACAGACTACTTGTGGAATTATATTGGTATAGTTTCCACACTGGAAATTTGATAAGCCAGTGAAATCACAGTTTTGGATCAACTCCCTTTCCCCCAAAAAAGACACCCACCAAAAATTTTATACACCTCATAATCATCCTGAATATTGTTGACATATATGTCAAGAAATTGGTCATAGAAGAGAAGAGTTTTTTGAACAGATGGTGTGTGTGTGTGTGTGTGTTTTTAACAGATGAAAGTAGAAAGAGGCATTTGTAACTAGTGTGATATAAGAAACTTCTTCAGGAAAAAAAATAGTCACAACTTCTTAGTGCTTTAGGCAACTTGTGAAGGCAGTAAGTTACAACAGAATTGCCTTTCTGCATTAGTGGTAGGAATTTCCATTTTAGGGGTTTCCTACTCTGATAGAATCAAAAGACCAGACAAAAACAAAACAAAAAAAAACCATTTGATTCAAGAGAAATTACTATTAAAATTAAAAATGTGGCATCAAGCAACTTCAATCACTTCTATTAAAAATAAACTATGGCATTGTATACTCCAATGCTTCATACTTTTTCTGTTTGATAATGAAGAACCTTTCAAGGCTTCCTTAGTGAAAAACGTAAGTCTGAACCATCAATGAGCTTTCAAAATGTTTACAGCTTTAACCAATGCATAATTTACCAAAAGAATATTTTATTTCTTTGTGAATAATCAAAATTTTTGAAGAATATGTATATAATAGACACTAGAAAACATCTAACTTCCCCTAAATAGTCTCTCACTCTGCACATCTAAACAAAATTACAACTTTAACACATCTAAAATAGTTGGATCGTGCAAAGAAACCACTTTAAAACTGTACTTTAAACGTGTTCTATTTTATCAATTTTATTCTAAAACACAGTGAAGGAAAAAATGGCAAAGCCTCTTTGGGAAGCTTGAAAGAATCTGAAAGCCACCAATCTAGTTAATAAGAATCTTGAGTCATTCTAGATAGAATAACATTGATGAATAGTAAGCTTTAAGGAGAGAGAAGTCGGTGCCATGGAATCAAGGTTGTTGGAGTAAGTTTTTCACGATTGGACAAAAAACAGTCACAGAATTGCTGAGATATTTCTCTTTTTTGTTGTCATTGTTCTGACAGAAGAGAAAGAAAGGGAAATAAAGAGTTGTCCTAGGAAACTGAAACTATATAAAACAGCAACTACCTCTTAACTACAGAAAGACTAGTTAGCTAGGAAAATCACTAAGGAAACTCATATGACCAAAAGACTTTCAATTGATGTCAAAAGCCACAATGAGGCACAAAGAATAAAGGCATCATTTATGTGGCTGAGATCTGTGGTCATAGCTCTAAGTGTTCAAAAAATGAAAGAAAAGTCAAAAGTTACTATTCCCAGTAACCTTGGAAAGGTCTCCTTCCTCAATTACCTCAGATTTACCTTTTATATATTTTCCATTTATTTAGACACGCACATGTGCTACAATTATTTAATATTGTCTTTGTATCACCAGTTAACACAGAAGATGTTCAATAAATACTTGCTAGTTAAGTACAAGAAAGACATATTAGGAAGTAATCTATTGTATAGTGAAAAAGGGGCACAGCATGCTTCATCTCTTTCAAAAGTATTCAATTTTATATTTTGAGTTGTTTGTTTATTAAAGATTGTATTATATTCACTGGTCAACAATTAGTTTGTATTTATACTGCTATCTTGATATAAACATGTTTTTACAGAAAAAAGCCTGGAAGGCTGAATCACATATAGATTTCACTCTCCACCTGTGGCATAAGCCAAACCATTTGGCCAGATACCATATCTGATCTGATGGCAGTTGCTTATGGTGCCCAGGAAGGGAGAAATCATCCTACTTAGATCTAGAGGCCTCAGACTCTTAGACTCACTGACTTCTAGGTTACTTTTGATAATCTAGTGCTCAATTAATGATGAATCTCATATCTGTGGCAGAGAAAAAGAAATCAAGAAATGTGTTATTGCCTAGGAGAGGTAATTCTAGTACCTTTCTCTTTCCTGTTAAAGCTTTGAAGTCATATATTGCATTAGTTGAATATGATTACAGTATTTAGACCATAAGGACCTAACTATGTTTCAGGGGTTGGTGAAATACAAATACTTAATTTCACTTGCTAATGACTTTTTTTATATAAACAAGCAGTACGATACAGTTCAGTAAACAAGGTTCCATTCACTAACTCTATGTGGTCAACTGTGTTACAGTATAATCTTTCCTTGAGCGTAAGGTTTCAACAGTACTTAGCTCTGTTCCTTAACCAAAGAAAGTTTTGGTTTTTTTTAATTGCCTGCCTCCTAGGATAAAATTCAGATAACAAAGGAGTAGAGTTTTCAATGAATATTATAGGCAGCTTCTGTGCATCTGAGACACCAAACAATGGGTGAGAAAGAATGTTTTTCATTTCCCCAGAGCTCTGTGGGATTTCCTCATTACCACCTTTGTCCTTCTTACCCTGTGGAGACCCAATGGCCTTCAATTGTGGGTGGCATCTGCACAGTGATCCGTGCTCCATTATGGAGGTGTTTGAGCATGTGATGACATTGAGATTCCTTGAAAGCTCTCCAAGCGCTCTTCTCTAAAGATCGAGGATGGGATCTGCTATCTGGGTGAAGAAGGGCAGAACCTTCTCCCAGCCCTAGGAGAGAAAGACAAGTGAAAAAGTTAGTCAGTAGGCCTCCAAAGCTCAGGAACCATCTACACAAGTCAGGCTTAAACAATCTATACAGAGGAAACAGTATAGATTGACAAAGCATTTTGTTCATAATATTCAGTCTCAATAGTTGGAATTTTTTTCCTAGTAGAGAGATATTTTCCTCTGTCAGTTTCACTGCTAATTCCTCTTAATGGTTCTCAAAGGGGTGATTTCAACAAAGTTGTTTCCTGTACCCAAGAGGGTGCAAGCCTCTCTTTGGTCCCCCTTCCAAAATCTCTGGGTCACCTGGCCTTCTCCTTAGACACTCCACAGGCAGCTTGACTGTTGAGGCAATACTATACTCCCTCCTATCCTGTTAAAAAAAAAGCCAATTTTATCAAACACTAAATATTAACAAGCGACTAGTATGTTAAGCTGTATGCACTAGAGGGGTTATAACAGCATAAGACATCTTAAAGAGGTTACAATCCACTTGAGAAAAGACAACCTATGAATATGCATATATAAGAGGAGTGAATATGAGCTCTCCCCTGTTACACATACATGAAAACAAGAGCATAAGACGATATAGTAACAAGCTTTTCATTTTATAGTACAAACAACTAAGGGATTAGAAAAGGGAGAGGTCAACTGAGTGTGAAGTCACCAGGAAAGGGAGATGGGAGTCAAACTGAGTCTTAAGGATGTGTCTGTATGATATAGATGGGTAATGAGTATGGGGGTGTTTGGGAGCTGGGGGGACAGTCAGGAGATTGATTCTATATGTAGATTTAGAGGATTAGAATAAGATGTATAGACCACTACAGCAGGAAGGAAAGAAGGAAACAAGCATTTATTAAGAACTTTACACACCATACTACTGTGCTAATTGTTTTACAAATATTATCCCACTTGATCTTTATAGCACCCCTGGGAGTGGGTGCTATTATTATCCCCATTTTATAGTTGAAGAAGCCCAGACACATGGAGGTTAAGTGACTTGCTCAGAGCCACACAGCTAGTAAGTATCTGAGAAAGAGTTTGAACTCAGGTATTCCCGAATCTAGGCACAAAGGTGCCAGCATGGTGAGGGTAAAGGCATAGCAGCTTTGGCAGGGAATACAGGATCAAGATGGGTAAAGATCTGTTGCTCTGGGTGGCAATAACATCTGGGAAGGTGGCAAATCAAGTCAAGGCAACAAGCATTTATTGAGCACCCACTATGTGCCAGGCGCTGTGCTGGGTCCTGGGGAAACAAAGAAAGGCAAAAACCAGTCCCTGTTCTCAAGGAACTCACAGTCTATTAAGGGAGACAATATGCAAATAACTATGTATTAACAAAATACAGACAGAATAAATAGGTGGCACTGTGATTAAAGAAGACTGGGAACAGTTTCCTGGAGAAGGTAAAACTTTGGCTGAATCTTAAAAGAACCCGAGAAAGCACTAATAATAGGTCAAACTCCTATGGCAGTGAGGTGGGACAGTATTATCCCCTTGTATGTATGAGTTGTCTGTAAGTGAAGTTTTCCTACCTTAGGAAAAACTTACAGTTACTTTAGCATCAGTAATTATTACCAATGATGAAAGAAATGTAAAAGGTATGAGTTTCGAAGTCAGAGAAATTTAGGATCCTCACCCTGTCACTTACTACTTGTAGGATCTTGGACAAATCACTTAATCTCTCCAGATCTCAGTTTTCCTCTTCTATAAAATGAGAGGGCTGAGCTATGTGACTTCTAAGGCCCCTACCAGTATGATCTTAATGGAGATCCTCCTAGAACTCTCAATATCCCAATTATTTAGTACTCAAACAAACAACAATGATTTAGCAATCTAATATTTAGGATCTTAGAATCTAAAGCAGGAAGGGATTTTGGAGATCATTTAAGTCTAATCCTCTTATTTTACAGATGGGAAAACTAATGCCCTGAGAGTACTCCATAATAAAATAAAATTAGATGTTTATTTCAAAGTTCTAAAATGTTGAAAGTAATTCCAATTATACTCCTCACATCAAGTTACTTTACAAAAGTAAAAAAAATAGATATCTAAAAAGTTTAGAAGTCAGGACAAGGATTATGAGATGAATATGAAACTGATTGAAGGTGTCAGTGTTATAAAACATAATAGAAGTTTCAAATTAAAACAGTGCTCCCTCTATTACTCTTGATTATTGCAAGTTCAATAACTTACCAAAAAAATTACTTAATCTAAGCACGCTTACAATCATTTACATAATGTGCTTCACTTAACACTGCATTAACATTTAGAATTAATGCAGTTCTCTAAAGAAGTGATTTGCTATACCTCACAATTGTTTTTGGGGGTAGCTAGGTGGCACTGTGGATAGAATACAAGGCCTGAAGTTATGAAGACATCTTCATGAGCTCAAATCCTACTTCAGACGTACTAGCTGTCACTCTAGGCAAGTCACTTAACCCTGTTTGCCTGTTTCCTCAGCTATAAAATGAGCTGGAGAAGGAAATGGCAAACCACTCTACTACCTTTGCCAAGAAAATCCCAAATACATTCATGAAGAGTCAGAAATAACTGAAAATGACTGAGCAATAGCATCTAACAAAATCTAAGAAAGGAAAACTTGATAGGCTAAAGAAAATAACAGATAGCATTTATTTGGTACTTTAAGGTTTGCAAAGTGCTTTATAGATATTATTTCATTTGATGCTTCTAAGTACCCTATGAGATAGGTACTTTTATTATCCCCATTTTACAGATGAGAAAACTGAGGCTGAGAGGTTAAGTGACTTGCCCAGGGTCACAGAGCTAAGGGTCTGCGGAAGAATTTGAACTCAGTTCTTCCTGACACCAACTACAGCACTCTCTCCACCATGCCACTAGTTGTTTGGGTCAGAGATAACTTACCCAAGACTAGCTCTAAGACCAGAGAGGTAACTTGCCCAAGACCACACAATGAGGAAGTAAGAATCAGGACTCGAGTCTGCGTCCTCTGAGTCAATATCCAGGTCTCTTTCCACCACTATTCTGTGAAGTTTCTATGAACTAAGTTGTTCCCAGTCTCCCTATTATCTTTTAAGTTTGGTCATTGAGTATAGGCCAGTGGAAACAAGATGCCAAGGTAAGTATATGCAAGTGAGGGTTGATTACTGCAGCAGGACTGGTATGACTGCAAGCACAGGCTGAGAAAAATGAATGGCAGGGAACAACTCATTCCATGGCTGGAATATTAAAATGTTCACCCTGATTCATTCTAAACCCTAACCTGCTCAGTTGGAGGTGTTTAGATTTAATAATAATAGCTAACATTTGTGTAGTACTTTAAGATTTGCAAAGCACTTTACAAATATTTCATTTGATCCTCATAACAGCTCTGAGAGGCAGTTATTATTATCATTCTCATTTATTAGATGAGGAAATTGGGGCTGACAGAGTAACTTGTCCAGGGTTACACAGATCATATGTATCTGAAGTCAAATTTGAACTCAGTCTTCCTGACTCCAGGTCCACTGATCTATCCTTCCTATCACTTAGCTGCTTCTTATCCTGGGTATGGGGCCTAAAGAGTAAAGATGGGCATCTGAAAAGGAGGAAGGTTCTAAAATGCCTAGAATCTAATCACTGATCCTGAAAATGGCCGAGAAGGAGATGTTCAGGGATGCTGGGCAGTTTACCTCAACTGAGGAGAGAGAGGAAGGGAGAGGACAGGACAGAGGGATAGAGAAGAACAGAAGCTGTTTACATCGAGCATTGGTGCCTAACACACTCCTTTTCAACACCATTCTTCCATGTTAAGGGAAGTTGGGGGTAGTAGGGAGGAAAGAAAGGAAAAAGTATATGAGAATATGATGGAAGGAAATGCATAAAATTAAGGAGTTTTTGTACAAACAAATCTTATTGCAGCTAAAATTAGAAGGGAAACAGTTAACTGAGGGGAAAATCTTTGAAGCAAATTTCTCAGATATTTTATGATTCATTCTATAATTTTTCCCCAGGAATTCTTTGGCAAGTGAGTCACACAGAAACAGAAAAAAAAAAAATAGAAAGAGGGAAAGAAAGAAAGGAGGGAGGGAGAGAGGAAGAGAGAGAGAGAGACAGGGAGAGAGAGAGAGAAGGGCTATGTCCTCACCTCTACCTATTCAGAGACTCCAATGTGGACAAAAACCCAGCCAATATAACAATAACATCAAAGTAAGTAATTTAAATTTAATAGTCAGGACAAGAAAGCATCGAATCAATACTATGAAATTTTTGTTGTTGTTTAGTGGTTTATGACTCTTAGTGACCTAGTAGACAATAGCATGCTAATACTATCCATGAAGTTTTCTTGGTGAAGATACTGGAAGGGTTTGCCATTTCCTTCTCTGGTAAATTAAAGCAAACAAAGGTTAAGTGACTTGCTCACGGTCACACAGCAATAAATATCTGAGGCTGGCTTTGAATTCAGAACTGCCTGACTCTAGGCCCAGATCTCTACCCACTGAACCACGTAGCTGCCTACTTGAAGCTGCAACAGTAAATTTAAAGGATGTGGGGTTTTTAAGTCTTTCCATTTGAAAAATCCACATTTTTAACAAGTGAGGGAATGAAATCAATAGTTCAAATGAAAGAAAGGATACTTATTGTATGGCAAATGAAGTTGGCCATCAATATTCATCTTCAAATATTCACTTGGTTGTTATGGTATATCAAAAACATGAAAAGCAGCTGTAGGATGTGCTAGACTTCTTGTAAATGGCAGGGAACTGAAAATCTATTTAAAAGCGTTAATCTAGACAATGCTGGAGGGCCAACCATAACAATATGTCATCCTTGGACCCTAAAAGCTTTGCTCTGAAGAATCAGATAATGAAGTGTTTACAGATCACTTCAGTGATGGATTTCATTTAATTCCAAGACCTCTGGATTCCACTTGAGGGAAGGTTTCCAATAAACAAGTGTTTAGGTCACAGTAGGTCTTTGGTTAACACACTAGACAAGTCTATTCTACGAACATTCTATCTCACTTTTTTTCCTATCTCTGT